TAGAAATCTGTTTCCTTATTTCGGAAAATTTTGAGGCCCGGTCCGAAACTGTGTAATCACACAACAAATTCACCTCTATCTTTTGAAATATATATGTCTAAGATAGATTAGCAATGAATCCATAGCGTGAGCGAAAGGCTACCCGTATGTCTACGGTTTCCCAGACAGCACCCATCCGGTCGCCCCGGTGGTCTAGTTGGTAACCTCGAAACCTTCTAGTGGTCAGGTCAGTCAGGGGTTCGAATCGCGGCGAAAGCGAGCTTTTCTTGCAAAGTGAGTTTTTCTCTCGCTTCCGCTCCTGGCCTGGTGGATAGCGCTAGTTCGCGTGTACACAGAGGGAAGAGAATGCTGAGCTCTTCTCGCATTGAAAATCGAAGGCAAAGTATCGCAGGAGGGGAGGGGAGGGAGGGGCTCTTCTGTGTGACCACGGGTTGGAGTAAACGGCACTAGTGCCGTCAACGCTGATTTGAAGTTAAGACAAAAAAAAACAACGATTATTTTGTTTTTTGTTTATAACTTGCTGTCGTATGTGCAATTATGCCGCATGAAACGGCCATTTGAATTCAGACATGCGCGCTTGTGTCAGTGTCGCCCACACATGAAAGTTCTGCACCCCCCGGCAAGCGAGCGTGAGCAAGTTCTCTTCGCTCTTGCTACTGTGACACGATGGATCTCAACCGAATTTTTATGCCCGAGCAGATAGAGGTAAGCTGGGCACAGCAAGCGGTGTCCTCCTGCAACACATGTTTTCTCTCAACAGACAGCCAGGCGCTGTATCTTAGACACCAGCGTAGCCCATGCAGGGCGGCCCATCTGGGCCGGGACTCTGATGAAGGCGGCTTCAAACCCTCATTGCAAGGGTGACCGGTGAAAAGGAAAAGGTACTGCTGTACAACTGCCTTAGAGTAGTGTGTACAACAGCTGTACAATCGTGCTGTGCCCGACGACTGAGTTGCAAATATTGATGCAACCAACCTCAATCAGTTGACAATCGCAATCCTGATGTAGCCAACTCGCTCGATCTCTGCACGGCAGTTTTAACACCCGACTCATTGCATATGTCTCGTTATTCTTGATCTCTTCGCGGCCTGTTGGCACTGCTGTGTACCGCCAAGGTCCACAAAAACCTCCCAGGAATTTTGAAGGAGTACACGAAGGCCCTGCTTCGCGCAAACCTCACGAGCGAGAAGGACATTATCAAGTTTTCGCTCATGTACTTCCAGAAAAAATGCGATGAAAATGGATCTGGGCCAATCTCGGAACAGCAGTGACAGAAGGAACTGACCGGGTGAGCACGATCGTTCTCTTCAATAAAATATTGAGTTCATACCACTACAGCAGCAGCACTACACAACAAGTACCCTGAGGCACCAGATCTCTAAGACTGCGTAGGTAGACTAGTTGTGTAGATGGTACGGGGGCGCTCAAGGGGCGTGTTGAAAAGATCAGCAAGGTCAACACGAACTTGTGGATATAACACATCACAGTATAGACTATGTGCTTCGAAGGTGGGTTCCAACCAGACGTGAGCCGTTTTTGCATAACCACGTTTTGTAGACTGACGAATGAGCCTGCGCTGCACGGTCATATGCCCGCATGATATTTTCGGAAACTGTTGACGTTTGACACAAGGGCTTGTTCAGGGAGGCATCATAGCCTATGGCTGACTTTTGTCGCCGCGTGCCCCTATTTTCCCTTCGTTCGTTCGTCCTCCTTATCAGAATAGACCTGCACTCCATCATCGCCCTGGAGACTACAAGAAGGAGAAGGGATGGAGGGTATCAAAACGTAAGGAAAGGCATAAATTGGCAGCAGCAGTGCTTGGGTGTCAGGCATTTCCCATGTTCCGGTTGAGGATTTTTCATGGGTGCCCTTGATTGGCGTAGCAGGTACCCATGTGCGATTTTTATCCCCTACCCCCAACTCCTTTCAGAGGGGTACCGGTAGCGTAGTGGGCAGACATCGCCGACGAGCCTTCGAAAGTTGAGTCGTTCCGTCCTCTGGAGCACTCCCAATCGTGAGGAATTCAGGCAAGGAGGGGGAGTGCAACGCGGGTGCGTGGGCTTACCGAGATGGGGCTTCCTGCACCGTGCACCGGCAGTGCCATCCTTCACGTCCCTACATTCCGTCAGATAGTACACCAAAGGAGCTGAGCTGTCTACCCTCGACCTTGCCGAAAAAGACCCGTTCGTTTGTGTACTGTACACGGGCATGTGAACGCAAGAGGGCGGGTGGCGTATGTATTGGCCTGGTTCTCTTGTTGCTTTCCTCGAGCGAGGAGGATGCCGCGTACGCGTCACGCATAGTGTCACCCTGTTTTTTTGTTTCGATCGCCACGACGGCGTAGTTTCCTGGTAGCTGAAGGAAGGTGTGGTCTACGGCAGATGTTCGGTTCTTGTGGATTTCGTTCTTCCTTTACGGGCTATTCCGATTGAATCTATCTGAGTCCATCCGTCAGGGTAGAGACGGGAAAATCAGCATAAATTGAACTTGGTCGGCGTGATGCCTACCCCAGACGTTAGTAGCAGCGGAGGTCAAGTAATACCCTTGCTAAGAGATACTTCGAAGGGTTATGTTGGCAAAGCAATATTGAAGAGGTAAGGCGAGTTCCTACTATCCTTTTGGAACCCACGTCGATTCATGCGTTTCTAGACACGTCGTGTAGGAGTGTTGACGATGGATCACTACCGTCCGTGGCGCCGAACACGGCCGACTTTCAGGCAGCTGAAGAGACAAGCAAATCCCAACCCACGTGTGTACCACATCTAGTCGCAGTTGCAGAGAAACGTAGGGGTTTCATTCTCTCAACCGTGAACCACTCTCTCTCACAGTCTCGTTCACGACCGGATTCGGCAAGAAGGCATGCCGAGAAACCCCAACCATCGTGCAGACATACCAATCGTGCCGATTTGGAACTCTTTTCTCTAATGTCGCTCGCGGACACAAGAACGCTGAAACGAACAAGCCAATCATTCCAATTGGTTCAAAAACGCATGAAACAGTACACAAAACGAACAAGCATTTCAATTTGGTTCCTATACACAAATCTCGCGTCCAACAAATCAATGAGCCGATCATCACGGGGTCTCTTGCGTGAGTGCCACATAAACTCTCTACAACACAACCCACCCCAAGAACAAGGCGCGTTGTTCTATGCCCGGTAAGTTTAGGGTCAAAATGATCAGATCCCCCTTCGCCGTTGTTCACCGCCCGTCCCATCACTTTCCTCCGCCGCATCCACCTACAACCTCCCGCCGTTCAAATAATTACACTCGGTCTCGTCAGTAGTCCTTGACGTAAATCAGGAAATTTCTATCCGGGAGGCGAGACACGCGTAGATCTTGATCAAGGAAAACCGTGTCCAGCGTGATGCGCGGAATGCGGTCGAATAGTCTGCGTAGGCGGAGTGAGCAGTTTCGGCAGGATCGGGAGGCATTCAAGCGAGGAAAATCGCCAGCTGATTGGTCGAGAACTACCATGTACATACGAGACTGTCCGAATGTTCCTTGGCCTCAAGTAAACCCGATATTGTTCTCCCAAGAAAAAGAAGGCCAAGTGCAGAGGGAAAAAAGAAAAATTACAAAGAAGGATTGCAAGAAAATGCCGTCCATAGTGCACAACGGAGACCGAGATCAGAGCTTCAAGTGTCTTGGACACATTCGCCATAGCTAGGAAAAACATTCGTGGAGGGAATGCTCGTTTAAGACCTGACTCCCAGCCCCGTATAGGCAGAGACAAAGTATTGAAAGCTCATAGGCCTAGACTAGTTGTGCATTTGTCCATGCCCTGAGTCCGTGTTTCCCCGAAGCTTCGGTCATCGGAGATGTCATCGCCAAATGTTCTGACCGTCCAACTCACGGGCGGTTTCACTTGCACCAAAGAAACTCTTGAATTCTTCCAACAATCTGCGAGCACCCCTACTTCCCTGCCTCCCCCAGTGGATCGATCCCCCACTGACCTCTCCGAGAGCTGGTCAACCGGCACTCGCACCTCCTCGAGACGGGGGCTGATCTTGCCCAGAATGGAATCGCTAACCCTGGTGTCGTCGACGATAATCTCCAATCGGTCGCCGATGTCGTCGTTCACGATCTTGGACCGCGTCTCCACTACGCCCGATATCCATCTACTTGGCACCACGTGTTGTCGCCCAAGATGCGAAAAAAACAACAAAAAAGAGGCGAGCATGATCGCTGTTGGGGTGAGAAACGCCCGCGTTCGGTCATTGGCTGGCTGGGTTGGTCTGTGGGTACGCGGACTGTCGTTGTCGTCAGTGTTTTGTTGTTGAGGAAAACTTTGTCAAGTTGACGCGGGTATTGGCGGGGACGAGAGGAGAATATCGTTGCAACTAGTGCCATTTCGTCGGAGAAAGAAAAAGAGGGGGCAATGGAGATGCTCGTCTCGGATTGAGCTGTTGTGGGTGGCCTAGCAGGAGGTTCTCTTTCGGCCATTGACCAAAAACGAAAACGTCACGGTGAAGGTGTCGAATCAAGCACTTGTGACGTGTGAACGCGAACACCCAGCGCGATATCCCCAGAGGATGGTAAACACCGCTGTGCTCCCAGCGCTGCAAGCGCCTGGGATTATTCTCATGATTTCCCGCACAATCAATCTTGTGTCGGATGATACCCCGAAATGCACTACTCGCACACAGGGCTCAGCAGCGGATCGACACAGCCTCTCCGCCTGTTTCTCTCTCCCGTCGCATCTGAATCACCTGTGAGGCCAGACCGACATCTCCACCCGCGACAGGAGCTCGGTGCAGTCCTCGTTCACGATCTGCCTCGCCTGACCAATCTTGGCGTTGGGGAAGGCGTCGGTGAAGGAAAAGACTCTCTCGGCGACGCCCTGCTTGCCGATCAGCGCCTGGAACGTTGCAAAGAACGGGCTGGAGCGGAACGCCTGCGAAGACGAGTAGACGAGCGTCCAGGTCCCCACCATGTTCTCGTCCTTGTACGGTTCGAGCAGCTCCTCCGCCTTCAACTCTTCCAGGCGCTCCAGCAAGAGGTCCATGTCGTTCTGCTGGGCATCCGTCGCCAACTTCCCTCGCTCAGTCATCGCCGCTACCTATTGGGTCGGAACGCTGAACACTCAACTCTATGAAAAGAGATCGTGTAGGAGATATACTCCTGCCTAAATTACATGTTTTATGCTCGGTGGCTTTGGATTCGGCCACGACCGGTGGGGGAAAAGTATGGTTCCGAGAGCGGCCTCAGATCCCAGATTCCTCCGTCCATGCGATAGCCACGGGCACCACTCAAGGCCGACCACAGCAGCAACGGTACAAATCAACCTCTGTTTCGTGTTCTGCTTCTGGCTTTTGTTTCTGTTCCTTTCTTTCGTTCGGCCGAGTTGGCCATAAAACAACCATTCTTGTGGGTATCAAGTGTCTCCCTGATACTCAAAACTAAATAAGAACTTACCTGGAGCAGAGAATTCTTGATGAGAGTAATCTCGTCGACATCAGCAGGCGTGCTCATCGAGCTCATGCGTGTGGTCAGTACCTGCGTGAGAGAAGAGATCATTTGTGACGGGTATCAGTAGGCCGCACCGGCGATAAGCCGGCAGTTGGGTTGCATCTGGAGGAGTATTGCACGCCTTCACGCAGGTTTTCAGTTCGCTATAATCTGCTAAAGTTCGTGAGTTGTGCCGACTGATACATGACGAACATGGCAAAAGAAAGGATGGGTGAGCATCAGATCATTGCCAGAGAAGCAGAGTCCCAAAGACTTGCAGCTGAATGTCTTAACAGTTCAAACGTTCAGACGTATCAGATCAACTGCGACCTTAGCGCGGGGTACCACACAGCTGAACACTTTGACATGCCCATGACATGTTGTCGTTGTTGCTGTCTCACACAACGAACGGTTGTCTCGATCTCTGCGCAGTACCTTGAAACACACCCCGCGCTTCAACTGACGCGGACTGTTACAGAATGAAAAAATCCAATCGAAGAGTTGTATTCGTATGCGCGGTAAGGAATCACGGCGAACAACAAGAGGGCGAAACGAATAAATTCTGCCAAGAAAAAGAGGCCCATAAATTGCCGCGAAACACAAGGGAAAAGGCGGTGGCCACCACCCGCCATGCCTACTTCCAAATGGTGGGGGACCAAAGCCATATTTATGCGACGACAAACAAGTATTGCTCGAGGCGTCCGCCAGCTGGCATTCAGTCACTTCCTAACGGAATCCCGGACTCTTGGCGTGAGCCCAGTAGGTTCGTTTGTTGCGACGGACCTGATGGGCTTAAGTCAAAGAGTCTGGAAATACTTTGGAGCGGCCGCTTCCCGGCAGAAGGGTGCCTCGAACAGCAGATTGTATTGAGCGAGTGACTCCATGAGGTGGTACGATGTCGTTCATGTACATGTACGCTTGTTGTTGGTGCGATAAGTTTATTGTATTGTAGACGTGGTGGTTCGAGATGGGGTATTATTCTCACTATCTCCCAAAGTCTGTCAAGGATCATTCCCCCTTTTCACACCAATTGCTTCGTCGACGTGTACTCGATAGACTACATGCACAGCACACCCAACTGGACTGGCGATGTGTACATGAAACCTACAGCAGAAGTACGTAGCATTACGGCAACCATTTGGCCCACTTCTACCCAATCCACAACAGCCCATGTACGCGCACATGTTTCCCGTCGCAACAAAAGAAATGTCGCGTGTGTCGATTTCCAGCCGTGATGCTTCGCCCGCTCCCCATGCCAGGTCCGAGGCTGAAGCCGACCGCCAAGCTGGTGCCATCACATGACGCAGAAAATCAACCAAACAAACGGAGGAACAACTTGTGTGTGTAACAGCAGGCCGACCCTGTGATCGATGATATGCATAGTATCTGCGAGATGCAGGGGATGTGCGAGGGAGGAAAGATAAGAGTTACCAGAGGATGAAGACTACTATGTAGGCTGTGCACACCATGCATATCATCACATGCATTCGTGTGTGTGCTGACATAGCAGTACAGCAGTAGCAGAGCGGGAACGATCTTTTACACGGGCGAGCGGGTAGAGATTCGTGATCAATATGTATTTCGACGCCTCACTTGCCACCCATAGTGAGCCAGGCGAGAGCAACTCGTCCTTCAGATGGAACCGTGTGGTGAGTGGGACTACTGTTGTGGGGCTGGGTGAAGTACTGGTGATGGCGTTCACGAGGCGAGTATGTAGAGAGCGTGACAGAGCAGACAGAGCAACACGGGGGGAGTGGCGGGACTGTCAGTTATTGTCGCTACCCTCCAGCTGCCGCCCTACTCTCACCTGACGAGCCGTCCTAGGAGTAAACACGAGAGCAACCGCATGGTCCTGCACAGAGGAAAAGAAGAACGATGCTGTAATCCTACTTCGGGCTTGGCTGGGTGATGAGATGAGCAGGAGATGAAAGACGACAGCAGTCAAGAGGGAGGTGAGATCTGCGAAGACGGTGGGTGAGCCATTCTACGGGGCCCCCATCCCGTTGCGCCAAGTTCTGTGAATGTGTGTACACTTCTTGCCTGTGTTGCTCCGTTGCTTGCAAACTCGCAAACGGTACGCCAGGGCAGAGGGTGCCACTCTTTCTCGCTGCCTGGACGATGAATGCTTTGCACAACGTCCCGCTCAAGTGGAGGCTCCTGATAGGTGAGGTGTATAGCACTGCTGTGGCACTTTCGGCGGATAGGCCAAATTCGTGTACTCAGGGCAAGTTATGTGCAACACCACCGCTCCGCAGCAGGCATACCACCGTACCCGACACAGCAGTACTATCTGTAGCCTTGAGCGTTTATGTTTGTGTCCGAAAACAGGTGATGGATGCGCCGAAAACAGGTGATGGATGCGATGTGTAGCATAGCAACTCCAGCCCTCTTGTTTCAGCCAACAACCGCACATTGTTGCATACAAAGACCAACAGATCCTGCACGAATATGAACGTAGACATGGAGCAGTACACTTGTAGACACTACAGTTTACTGCTACAACACGCCCTGTTGTTCAATTCGTTCTGCCGCCTCGTTCGGTGTTCATGTCTGACGGCATCCGCACACCCTTCCTGTTGGTGGATAACCGGACGGCGGCGCCATCAACCACCTCGCAAAGGTGGCCAAGTCCTGATAACTGCAGGTGAGAAAACACAAGAATCCATACTCGGGATCAGCCCACCACAACCCGCCCGTGTTGCGCACACCGATTCGCCAGCGCTCTTTTTTGCTCTATCTTGTGACAAGAATGTGCGCACATCGTGCTAAAGTGGGGGGTGAACGTTTTGTCACCTCTCGCTGCAGCCTTGCATGGCGCATTGGTTCTGCAGCAATGTAAACCCCTCTCCCCATCTCAATGGTGATTGAAGCGGGTTGGCCGAGGGAAGCGTTTTCTCTTTATTTCGACGGCACAAGGAGCCGGCTGACCCCTCCTTTCGTGTGCGCCGGCAACACCAGGCTTAATGGTGCACCGGATGGAAACGATCAACACTATGAAGGAAGAGAGAAAGACGGCGGGAGGGGAGGGACGCTTCGCACCCCCCGCCCCCCTTGAGGAGCCTGATCGTGCGCGGAGAAGGAGCGAAGGTTCTACGACGGAGGGTGGTCAATAGATAAGAGTTTTGAGTAGTCTAAATGCATCGAACGCTAATCTGCGGCTTGATCATGCACCGCAGAGCCCAGCAGTTACGACAGGAGTTCTGCAGGTGGCGTGCCTAGCGTGAACGCAAGGCAGGAATATACCTTGTACTAGGGTTTGAGGCATTGAGTGGAGCTGAAAATGAGGGTGTTGATTTTCGAAGTTTTTCTTTGCCCATGTCCCTACACACGCAGATTCAACACGCCACAAAGGGGCTGTGCTCGAAATGCCGCGTTCCCTTGAAGTGATGCAGGGATAGGAAGTCAAATTATTTTTACTGTTTTTGGACCGAGCTTTTGGACCGTGTGCCCGCTGTTCATGGCTTGACGTTGGGCAGAATGTTCCTGAGCGAGGTCATCTCTTACCTTGGCGTGCATGGTGCGTCGGGACTCAAAGGAAACCCACCGCGTCCGACGTATCAGATAAGGTTGGAACAAATTAATGCGATATCAAGCGCTGAAAGCTGCTGCCGCGCTCGTCGAGCTCGAGACGCTCAGCAAATCAGTTGGACAACACCTCAATGTCAGCTTCGCCGCGTGTTGTCTGCATGCCTTCCTGCGCTTGTCGAGTAGCAGTTTCCAGCCCCGACAGAGAGCTGCGTAGCTGCTTATCTTTTGCTGTGAGTTTCTCTCCGGCTTTGCTTTTTGCAGATGTGGCGTGCAAGAGGCGTCTGCTCAATTGGTTCGTGTCGAAAGAACGGGCGACTTGGTGTTCGCTCAGCATCGAGGCACAACCCGCAAATCCGACAGCGCATAACACGGCAATTACCTTAAGTCCGACATACGCACCACAAGGGCATTTCGCCGAAGCTGTCGCTGGTCGACGCGACCGGAGGATTTTTGGGTGATGAACTAGCTTATCGAACTCCCACCCACCCACCCAGTCCAGCGGTATCATGACGGGTGTAGTCGACAGAACAAAGGGTTGTCTTAAGCGGGAAAATTCTAAATCTACACGCCACAGTATCTACAAGCTCTGTTCTCACAAAGCAAACACGTGGGCACCTCAGGTTTGACGACGAATCGATGAATCCCACTCCGTATAACCGATGAGTCACCCTACGGAGTTGCACCGCCAACACTCTTGTTCTTGGAGCAATATTCGCATAACGTGCCAATAGTAGAACAGTGCCACCGACAACAAAAAAGTCGTCTCCACTGCTGTTGGCTTCGTGAACACCGAAAATTCCCCGAAACAACTTGGGCGGATGTACTCAGCGTTTAAAACACCATGTACCGCTAAGGAGCAGACCCATGCGCAGAAAAACGGAAAGGACTCCAAAGCACAGACTGCAAGAGGTTGCCTTCTCTGTGCCCTCGACAGACCATATCCACAGGAGACGTGAGCTAAACAGTAGAGACAGAGCTCGTAAAATAGCGCGAGCAAGCGCTCGGCACAGAGAAAGGAACGGAACAAACTAGTGAGTGGGTTCTCTGCTGCCTCATGTTCACATGATCCGTCCGATAGCTGGGAATACGACCTATCTATGTATCTGCTTCACATCTCGTGCTCCATCGGCCTGCTGTTGCATCTTCGCCCGCCAATCGTCCGATCCGAGGGGAACACGTCATACCTGGAAAGTCCTCTTCATCCTACACCCTTCCCACGCCTCAAACAGTTGTACCACGAATGCCAGGTTGCTGCTTCGGACGACCAGTCGAGTATACCGTTTGCATGAAAGTAACAACCCAAGATACGAAATAGGTTACAAAATCCGCGCAGCGGACATTAAAACTGGCCCCTGCCGAGTCGATCCAGGCAGCGTGTACATCATCCCATCTGTCACGCCTCCTAGAAATCGCTGTAACTATCGTCGTCGTCCTCCGCGGGGCTGTCCGACAGCAGGTCGATCACATCGGCCGCCCCGCCACCCATATTCCTGCCGCTGAAGATCGCACCGTGCGCGCTCCGGGCGGCGGCGGCACCACCGGTGTTGCCAAACGGGACGGGTAGTCCCGGCTTCCTCCCTCCTCCTACCCCCCCCCTCCTCCTCCTCCTC